CCCGCTGCTCCCCTCAGCAGTGTATTTCATCAGTCTGCCTGTTCTATTCCCTGCTCTGTCTCTGCTGAATCCTCTCACCCTCCCGTGCATCTGTCCTGTACCCTGGTTCTTGTGTAAATAAAATAAATCCTTAAAAAAAAAAATTCTTAAAAAAACAAAAACAGGGCCTCCCCTGGTGGCGCAGCGGTTGAGTGCTGGGTTGCGAAGCTGCCCGCAGCCTCTGCAGCACTGGTTCGATCCCCGGCCACCGGGCGAGGGTCCCACATGGCGTGCAGACCTCTCCTGCCACCTGCTCTTCCCCTCAGCAGTGTACCTCAGTCCTGCCTGTTCTGTTCCCCGCTCTGGCTCTGGTGAATTCTGTCACCCTCCCTCGCTTCTGACTGTACTCAGTACTTGTATTAATAAATAAATAAATCTTTAAAAAACAAAAACAGGGCCTCCCCGGTGGCGCAGCGGTTGAGTGCTGGTTTGTGAAGCTGCTCGCGGCCTCTGCGGCGCCGGTTCGATCCCCGGCTGCTCCCCGGCCACCAGAGGAGGGTCCCACATGGCGCGCAGACCTCTCCTGCCGCCCGCTGCTCCCCTCAGCAGTGTACTTCGGTCCTTCTGCCTGCTCTGCTCCCAGCTCTGGCTCTGGTGAATTCTCTCACCCTCCCGCGCTTCTGACTGTACCCAGTGCATGTACAAACAAACAAAACAAAATAAAATAAAAATAAATAAAAATACATGCCCCTTTAAAAAAAAAAAAAAACACCAAAAACAGCTCCCATCATTTTAAACGGGTAAAGTTTGGTTATAATAAGCACTAAAACAGTTCTGACTAATGTAACTACAACATACTGGAAATAGTCTCATCCAAATGCTGAACAGCATCTTTATAAAAGACAGAGCTGACTATGCATAAAATATGTGAGTTCCCTATAGGTCCTAGAATTAAATCCAAACTCTTCAGTTATGAAATAAAGCCCTACATAATCAATACCCAACAGGGCTTCATAGTCACTTTTTGTGGGCCCTATGAGCTTTTGTTTTCATGGGCCTCTTCCTCCATAAAAAAAAAATAAGTAAAAATTGTATTTTGTAACTGTGTATTGGTATAAAGACAATATATTAATTTTAGATATTAAAAAGATTTACTTAATCTAAAAGTTCATTTTTCCCCTTCTGATTTAAAAAAAATTTAAAAGCGTCATGGGCCTCCAAAAACAGTGTGAGTCCTAAGCCCTGTGCCTACTGTGCTTTATGGGTAAGTCAGCCCTGAGACCCATTCAACCTCTATTGCCATTCACCACGCCTCCACTCTTGGTTCTTAGAATACTAACTTGTCAAGGCCTCTACTGATATTTACACAAAATGACCTGTACACATAAATGTTCTCAATATGCAGAATGCCATTTTTTTCTGCTTTTCAATGAAGTCTCTAGACTGTTACATAATGTGCTCTGAACTTCCAAACTTTTAACTAATATCTGTTTTAACATTATAGAGCATTATATTTTGTTTACATGCTTATTTCTCCCAACCTGAAGGCTGACTTCACTAGTTTCTAGGGGAACATCAAGTTGTACTCATCACATACTCATTTTACTAAATCTAGGCAATAATTACCTAGTTTTTCTACCACTCTAGTATAAATAAAATTGTAAAAACAGGGTAGAAGCAAAACTATATTCCTCCCTCCTCCCCTCCACAGACAATCAAATGACTGAGAATAAATTAATAATTTTCTGTTTACATATACTTCCTGGTTCAGTACTTGCTAATTATATGCAGTATTTAATTCCCAGGAACACTTGTGGTGTGTCTGGAATACTCAGTCATTTTGCATTTCCCACTCCATGATATAAAACTACCAAGAAAATGGGGTAAAAATGTATGACAATGCTAAGGAAAGTAAGTCAGAAGGAGAAAGGCAAATAGATGGTTTTATTTATATGTGGAATATAGAGACTGAATAGGGAAGAAACAGAAAATCTGAACAGACCAATTGAAACAGTAGTCAAAAGGCTCCCCCAAAAGATAAGCCCAGGGGGCCTTCCCGGTGGCACAACGGGTTGAGCGCTAAGCTCAACAGCCTCTGCAGCAAGGGTTCAATCCTGGCAGGTGAGAATCCCACATGGTGCGGCAGACCTCTCCTGTCGCGCCTGCTGCTCCCCTCAGCAGTGTATTTCTGTCATCTGCCTGTTCTGCTCCCTGCTCTGTCTCTGGTGAATCCTCTCACCCTCCCGCACCTCTGGCCTGTACCCCAACTCTTGTATAAAAATAAATAAATCTTTAAAAAAAAAAACCAACATAATAAGCCCAGGACCAAATGGTTATTTATGTATACAAGAGCTGGGGGTATAGACCACAGGTGTGAGGTGTGAGAGGATTCACCAGAGACAGAGTAGGGAGCAGAACAGGTGGAATTACTGAAATACATTGCTAAGGAGAGCAGTGGGTGAGACAGGAGAGGTCTGCTGGGCCATGTGGGTTAGCTCCCTGGCCAGGGATCAAATTCATGCTGCAGTGGCTGCTGATAGCTTTATAGTGCTGAGACTTTAGCTCCTGCACCACCAGGGAGGCCCAGAACCAAATGGTTTTTTGAGTTCTACCAAACTTTAAAAGATGAACTAATACAACAAAAGAGCTGAGAATATGCACTGGAGCAAGGAAAACCTCTTTGATGAATGATGTTGGGAAAAGTGGACAGCTGCATGCAAAAGAATGAAACTAGAGCACTATCATACACACAAAAATCAACTATCCTGCCCAAATTTAAAAAAAAAAGCAACAATTGAGAAAAAGGGAATACTTGCAGGCACATTTTCTGAGGCCAGCATTACCCTAAAAATACCAAAAACAAAGACAACAGCAACAAAAAGAAAACTACAGACAAAATTTCCTAATAAATATAGATGCAAAAATCCTAAACAAAATCTTAGCTAAGAGATTCCACAATGCACTAAAGAGATTATACAATATGAGCAATATGACATTTCACTCACTACACCTGATTTCATTGATATCCATATTTTACCACTTCAAGGTTCTGTGTTGAAAACATCTCTAAATTCATCGAGCACAGTGCCTAAAAAAACTCTGTGTAATAAAGATAATCCTTTCTCCCTTGCAGTGAAAAGTCTCTATAGTAAAATATTTTGCAAATCTTTAAAAATATTTTCATTTTGTTTAAAAAGCAATATTCTTTTAACCTGATTGTTGATCATTTATCATTCTACATTAGAATTTACCAATATTTGATTTTTAAATTGTTGTCACCTAAATGATAGGCCAACAAGAAACACTTCTGCTTTAAAATGACTCAAATTGGAGGGCCTCCCCGGTGGCGCAGCGGTTGAGCGCTGGGTTGCGAAGCTGCTCGCGGCCTCTGCGGCGCCGGTTCGATCCCCGGCTGCTCCCCGGCCACCAGAGGAGGGTCCCACATGGCGCGCAGACCTCTCCTGCCGCCCGCTGCTCCCCTCAGCAGTGTACTTCGGTCCTTCTGCCTGCTCTGCTCCCCGCTCTGGCTCTGGTGAATTCTCTCACCCTCCCGCGCTTCTGACTGTACCCAGTGCATGTATAAACAAAACAAACAAACAAACAAACAAATAAATAAATAAAACATGCCTCTATTAAAAAAAAAAAAAAAAGACTCAAATTGGAGAAGTAAACTCTGCCCCATCCAGACAGAGGATGACATGGAGCAAGATGCCTCAGGGTGAAATTGCACAAGAACCTACCAACGAGCATTGGGATGTTCACCTTTTCCCAGGAAGTGACTGTCACTGGGCTATGCTTTGGTTTGGCATAATGCTACTAAGACAGATTCATTAATCATCACAAATAGTTAGTGAATGCCTACAGCTCTACAGCTCTCTCTAGAACCTGCATGTGTGCCTGAAATATGTGGTTTATAGTTAATTTCTTGTATCTTATCTCTCCTTTATATCTAAAATTGATAATGATTTTTCTTTACTGTTTGGGAACATAGTATTTTATTCAATATATTCAACAGATATATATTTTAATAATCACTAACAGTCCATTTTCTTGCTAATATGAACCAAATAAAGACAGCAGTGGGATGGGATGTTCTTTCTCCTCAACAGCTATTCCCTGATGATTGGGGAGGCTTAAACCAGGAAAAATTTCTGCTGTCAATGATCTGTGGATCTTTTCCCAGAAGACATCAAAACTGTGTAAGAAATACCACCCAAGTAAGGGGACACAAGAATGGTTCAATATCTGAAAAATCAATCAAAGTCATTTACCATGCCAATGAAAGCAAAGATAATAATAATTTGGGGGTACTGGAACCCAAAAAAAGACATGTATACCAATGAAATGGAGCTGAGAGCCCAGAAATAAACTCACACCTATATAGACAGTTAATTTAAAACAAAAGAACTGAAAATATGTACTGGAGCAAGGAAAACCTCTTCAATAAATGGTGTTGGGAAAACTGGATAGTTACATGCAAAAGAATGAACACACCCACCATACACAAAAATCAACTCAAAATGAATAAAAAACTTGGATGTAAGCCCTGAAAACATAAAATACATCGAAGAAAACACAGGCCAAACACTGAACAACATATGCTTCAGAGATGTCTTTGTGGATTTGTCTTCCGCACCAAGGAAAACAAAAAGAATATAAACATTTAGTGACCTCCCTGGCTGTGCAGGGTTGAAGACAGTGCTATCAAGCTATCGCTAGCCACTGCTGCATGAGGTGGATCTCCGGCTGGCCAGAGAGCAACCCACATGGTGCAGACCTCTCCTGTCTCCACCTGCTGCTCCCCTCAGCAGTGTATTTCAGTGGATCTGCCTGTTCTACTCCCCACTCTCTCTAGTGAATCCTCTCATTCCCCATACCTTTGGCTTGCACCCCAGTTCTTGTATGCATGAATGGATAAATCTTAAAAAAAAAAAAAAGAATATAAACATTTAGGACTACAAAAAACTAAAAGGCTTATGAATAGCCAAAAAACTGTCATTAAAACAAAAAAAACACCTTTCCGGCGGTGACGACCTCCCCACGAGAACATGCCTCTCGCAAAGGATCTCCTTCATCCCTCTCCAGAAGAGGAGAAGAGGAAACACAAGAAGCGCCTGGTGCAGAGCCCCAATTCCTATTTCATGGATGTGAAATGCCCAGGATGCTATAAAATCACCACCGTCTTTAGCCATGCACAAACGGTAGTATTGTGTGTTGGCTGCTCCACTGTCCTCTGTCAGCCTACAGGAGGAAAAGCAAGGCTTACAGAAGGATGCTCCTTCAGACGGAAGCAGCACTAAAAGCACCCTGAATCAAGATGAATGAGAAACCATCCTAATAAACAAGTTTTGGATAAAAAAAAAAAAAAAAAAAACCAAAAAAAAAAAAAAAAAAAAAACACCCTACTGAATGGAAGAAGACATCTGCATGCTAAACATGCTACAAGGGGTTGAAATCCAAGATCTGCAAAGAATTCATACAACTCAAAAAAAGAAAACAAATAACCTAATCAATAAATAGGCAGAAGAGCTAAACAGACAAGTCTCCAATGAAGCCATACAGATGGCCAATAGATACATTTGAAAAATGCTCATCATCACTATTGTCTGGGAAATACAAATCAAAACCACGATGAGATGCCACTTCACACTCACGAAAATGGACTACATCAAAAAAAAAAAAAAAAAAGTAGGAGAGAATATGGACGAAAAGGAAGCCTCTTACTTTGTTGGTGGGAATGCAGATTGGTCCAAGCCCTATGAAAAACAGTATGGATGTTTCTCCAAAGATGAAAAATGGATCTTCCATATGACCCAGCAATTCTACTCCAAGCTATCTTGGCTTGAAAGAATAGAAAAGAGGCCAAATTCGAAAGAAAATATGCACTCCTATAGTAGCACTACATACAAGAGCCAAGCTATGAAAACAACCTAAGTGCCCCCCCAAAACAGATGAGTGGATCAGAAAGATGTGGAATGGAATCAAAAAAGATACTCTTGCCAGTTGCACAAACATGGATAGAGCTAGAGGGGATTATGCTAAAAGAAGTCAGAAGGAGAAAGACAAATACCAGATAGTGTTACCTCTATGTGGATTATAGAAAAACCAAGCAAAGGGTCAGATAAAGCCAAACAAACAACAAACCCGAGAAATCTGACTATAGAGGCTACCAGAGAGAAAAGGGGAGAGAAAGGGGCAAAAACAAAGTGGGAAGGGAGCACAGTGTTCATAGGCATGGACGGTGGGTGTCTTGGTGGGTGTAGTGTAGTAACAACACTGGATGAGGGAGATCCTATGCCTCTAAGCCACAAACAACAATGTAAACCAATGTCACCTCAATTAAAAATAAAAAGTATTCACTTGGCATTATTTTTGTTAATAGTATGGGTAATTCCAATGCCAAACAATTTAAACATGGACTTTTTCGTTTAACTTCATATTTTTTAGATTTAGTATCAACTCTTGAGAATTCTAAATAATCCATTATTTTTATTCAACACAAATAAGTTGACTTCTACTGATAAATCATTTTGGCCAAATAACTAAAAGTAGGTAAAAGAAATAAAAAGGAAACTGAGGAGTCTGGAAATGCGTAGCCAGGTGATGGCTGACAAAAAGTCAATAAACAAGTATCAAAAAATCCAGAACTTTAGGAAAGCAAGGGCAGAGAGTTCAATTAGTCAAAGGCGAATGCTTGAAGGAAAAAGATTCTCACCAAGGTAGTATGAAAACAACCTTATATTTGACAGCAGGACATTTTACTTTCTCAATCTAACATTTTGAGAACAGCCTACACTTTTTCTATCTTCAAGATACAGCACACACAAGCTAAGTCTATAAATATAAAACTCTAGACACTGTACACAATTATAGAGAACAGCTTTTTCAAATTAAAAAGCTTTTTAAAATCTAGCAATAAACAATTTACACAGGGGAGATTTGGCAGGCATGAATACTGTAGTTATGAAAAAACAATTTTCTTATAGGTAGTTACTATTAAGAGAACAAAATAAATAAGAAAATTAAAGAATGCAAAAATATCACTTGTCAAATAAAAATGAAGGGAACTTCTTAAAATAAAGAAAAATGTGGAGATGAAAGAAATAATTACTTTTTGGTTGCCATTTACTTTGCATATCTATTTAAAGTTCAGAGATATAGAAAGAATAAAGAGGGAAGCTTGAAAGAATAGAGAAGAGGCCAAATTCTAAGAGAGTGTCTTAACAAAGACAGAAAACAAGAACAGTAAGCTTTCAAATTTTTAAAATACCAATTTTATAGATGTGTAAAATGAACGCATTCAGCAAGAAAGTATCATTACAGAACAGATCATGTCACCACATTTAAGCCGAACATATCCAATCATTTACTTAAAAAAAAATTAAACATTTATTTATGTTTTTGCCCTTTGAGTAGAAGTGTCTCATTCTATTGTTTGATCTGGGAGAGAAGGGGCCAAAGGGTTGACAGAAGAATTACCATTATTTCCAAAGATCTTAGTGACTTATCTATAAAAGCCCCTTAAAAAACATATAGAACCAGAGCTTGCTTAAAAAAAACTGACACATGGTTTAACATGCATTATTTTTTAATTTTCTCTTTATTCTAAAAAACATCACCATAGCTATATATGGCTAATATATTCACCAGAAACATGAGTGCCATGACAAACTGTTCTCTCATATCCATGATAAATAAGTTATACCAAATACAGATCCACTATAATAAAGTGAACATCAAGATCTTAGGGCTTTATATAACATGGGTTTTTATTATATACTTCTATTATATTGACAATGTTATATAAGAAATGATATAATTTTTTCAAATATTCTCTGCTATTCCAAAATCAGGTCTCCATTTGTAATAAATTTTGAAACAGGATGTCTCAGTATATTACAAATAGGGAGGAGACATTAATAAACAAATACTAACTCAGTGACCAAAATATATATTGTACTGTGCTAGATGCTGTATGAGACTTTAAAGTATTTATATGGCAACTGTCATGGGCTCAATATTTGTTCAACAAATAACTGTAGAACATCATCCTTGTGACAAAAATTGTGTCTAATTCTGGGACGCAATTGTTTCATCATCTGAAGCAATAAATAACTGAATGGGATAGTAACACCACCATATACAAAACCCAACCATACATGAAGCTATTATTCTAAATCAGTATCTTATAACTTCATTATGAAATATAAATAATCCAGTTTAATATCATTCATTATTTTTGAGGGGTGGGGGAAGAGAGAGATCTATTTTGAAAACATTTTTTGTACAATAGCTGGGGTACAGGTCAGAGGCGCGGGAGGGTGAGAGGATTCACCAGAGACAGAGTGAGGAGCAAGACAGGCAGAGAGACCAAAAGCACTGTTGAGGGAAGCAACAGGCGCGACAGGAGAGGTCTGCTGCGCCATGTGGGTATCTCCCTGGCCGGCGGGGTATCGAACCCGCACTGCAGAGACTGTGGACAGCTTCACAGCACTGTGCTCAACCTGCTGCGCCACCGGGGAGGCCCAAGAGATCTATTTTGATAATAGATAATTTGGTGGACACTGGTTACAGGGTATTAGAAAATTTACAAATTGATACTTGACACTTAAAAATAGAGGGAGGGGGCCTCCCTGGTGGCACAGGCAGTTGAGTGCCGTACTGTGAAGCTGTCCGCAGCCTCTGCAGCCGGGTTCACTCCCGGCTGGCTGGCCGGCGAGAATCCCACATGGCACAGCAGACCTCTCCTGTCTCACCCACTATTCCCCTCAGCAGTGTATTTCGTCAGTCTGCCTGTTCTGTTCGTGGCTCTGTCTCTGGTGAATCCTCTCACCCTCCTGTACATCTGGCCTGTACCCAGGTTCTTGTATAAATAAATAAATCTTTGAAAAAAAAAAAAGAGGGAGGGAGGGAAGAAAGGAGGGATGGAGGAAGGAAAGGAAGAATACAGATAAATTCATAATTCATTGTTATCAGAAAGAAGAGCTCATGCTATGTACAGTCAAAGAGATACCCCTATGTGAAGATAAGTATACTGTATGGTTTACACACAATCTCCAAACTTGGGTTCACCAAGACTTTCAGAGATATCTGAAAAGGCTTTGAAAATGTTATACATGTAGAAATGACCTTTCCGTTGAGATCTGAAACAAGTAATAGCCACTTTAATCTTAAAATAATAATTTACTATAAAACAGCAAATAGTAAGGTTTTAAAAAAACAACTTAAAAATTAAACTTATCATTGCTCCTGAAAAATGTCCTGCCTCTTAAAAGAATTCATTATAATAGGTTTTTTACTAAGGAAAGCAGACTCCAAATTAGAAGCAATCATAGCCTTGTCTCTCACTAAAACAGAATTTACCTCTTTCATATAATCAATAATAATCTTGAAAGGCCTCCAAAATAATTTCTATTTATCAGTGTTTTACCCAATATGATTTTCCTCAATGATGAAAATATTGTATATCTTATTGTCCAGTATGGTAGCTACTATCTATATATTGCTATTAAGCATCTGAAAGATGGCTAATGCACTGAAGGAACTGAATTTTCTTTTGTTGCGTTTGATTAGATTAAATGTAAATTTATTTATTTTTTAAGATTTATTTATTTATGTATACAAGAACCAGGGTACAGGCCAGAGGTGTGAGAGGGGGGTGAGAGGATTCACCAGAGACAGAGCGGGGAACAGAACAGGCAGATCGACTGAACTACACTGCTGAGGGGATCAGCAGGCGAGGCAGGAGAGGTCTGCTGCACCAAGTGGGTATCTGCCTGGCCAGGGATCGAACTCATGCAGCAGCGGCTGCAGAAGCTTCATAGGTTGCATCTTAACCCCTTGTACCACCAGGGAGCAATGAACTAAATTTTTGTCTCCTCAAAAATCAGTATGTTTTAAGTCCTAACCCCCAATGTAATAATATTTGGAGATGGGCTTTGGAGTAATTAGGTTTAAATGAAGTCATAAGAGTGGGGCCCTCATGATAGAATTAGTGCCCTTACAAGAAGAGAAACCAAAGAGCTTACTTCTCTCCCCAATTCCTTTTGCCTTATGAGGACACAGCCAGAAATGGCTTTCTGCAAACCAAGAAAAAGACATTAATGAGAACTTAATGAGGAACAAGATGAGCTAGCATCTGAATTTGGACTTCCTGGCTTCCAGAGCTGTGAAAAAAAAATTCCTGTTATTTAACTCATTCTATGGTACTGTGTAATTGTAGGCCTAGTTGACTAATACAATCACGTGTGGATATTGGCATATGAGATGTGCAGCTCATGTATATGTATGTATGGATTGAAGATTGATAGACCAATCAATGGACCAGGCACTACATAAAAACAAAGTTTGAGATTATACTCATTTTTTGGTTTTACTC